CCCCAAAACCCCAAAACCCCAAAACCCCAAAACCCCTATTAAATATAAAAAATAGAAAGAAAATTCTAAAAATGGAAAACTTTGAGGACATCGAAGAGTTTGAAATGAGCTCGAGCAGCTCAGATTCTGCAGATGGGGATAACTCTGAGTCTGAAAAACCTCGGAATCATACAGTTTGGACAAAGGTAAGCCCAAGATCTCATTGTTAGAGAAGAACAAGGCTTGATAGTCAGGAAAACGAAGCTCTCAACCTGATGGAAAGCATCAGGACTTTCAGAGCTGGGGATGACTTAGATAAATAAAGAAGAAACCAAAATTATTATTTCTGATGGTGAAGATGATGATGGTAACTTAATGGCTTAACTTTAGACCATGGAGAGATTGATGTCAGGAACTCTGATATTGATTTTGATAATGAACTTCTTGGTCCAAGGGATAGCACGAAGAGAAGAAGCAGCGCATCATCACACAATTCTGGGTATTCGTCGCACAGCTCGAATAGCGATTCCTGGTTAGATCAATGTAAAGCCTATACAATGCAAACAAGTGTGGCTACAGAGAAAATGGCTGAATTAGTAGAAGAATTGAAGAAGAAAGAGCAGTTTGATCATAAAAGTAAAAATGTTATTGTCTGGAGTGAGTCTAAAGTTGACCAAGAGTCTCTTGAAGATAGCTCTAGCGATACAGAGCCTAATGATAATCAGTGCCAGACACTTGGAATCTCTTCGCTATCTCGCACTTTTCTATACGTACATAGATTTGTCAAAAACCTTAAGAGACACATAAGAAACAATAAAATGAAAAGAATGGTGGTGGATGAGATCATTAAAACAGAACTCTCATATCAAAAAGGCCTTCAATGGTTAAGTAAATGGAAAAAGGAGTTACTGAAATAAGAACCTTACCACAGAGGTTGAATCCGACTTGATCTTTTAGCAATATTGACACTATTTTGCAAATAAGTGAAGCTTTTATCGAACTCGCTCAAAAAAGGTTCGAAACATGGACATCTAATAGTTGTATTGGGGATGTTTTTCAACAAATCACACCTTATTTTAAGCTGTACATAAATTACTGAAGTAATTACTCAGAAGCTTCTGAATTCTTTAAGGATAAATATGAAAAGGAGAGGTATTTCTTCAAGAAATACATCGACAAGCAACAGAAAGAGACAGGGCAGTCATTTGAGTCCTTTATGATCACTCCAATCCAGCGGCTGCCTAGATATGAAATGCTTATCAGGTAATTGTTCTTCTCTGATCTTTACAGTCAAGCTTTGAAGTACACAAATAAAAACCACCATGACTATAAAGAGCTAGAACATGCTCTAGAGTTGGTACAAGAAGTAAATGTTAAGAACAACGACTCGATGGGAAAGGCTTTCTTAGTAAAAAGGAAGCTGGTGCTGAATGATCTCTGACGTGATCATATAGACCTCATGAAATCATATAGGAAATTGATAGCAGAATATGAGGACTTAAAATATTTAGATTACAAGAAGGAGAAGCTAAAATCCTGCTTTATTGCCCTTCTTTCAGACTGTGTTGTCGTGTTCGCGAGATCAGGGTACTTTGTAGACTAAACCTATAGATTCTTTTATCAATTTCGATATTATGCACATGTAAAATTTAACGAACTATCTTATGCAGTTGATATCGCAGATCATGATAACCTAGAATACCTTTTTACAGTAAATTTAGTATTAAACTTCAGGTTTCAGGACGGGATGGTGTGAAGTTAACCTTCTCTGCTTCGGACAATGAACTCAAGAGGTATGCTTCTTCTCTAACTTTACAGTAAAATAATCCTTGACATCAACAACCGAATATCCGATCTCAGCAAGAACATCCAAAGCAGAAGAAGATTTATGAAAGAAATCAGCGAGAAGAAGGATAAAAAGAAACACAAAAAACACAAGAAACACAAGAAACATAAGAAGGATAAAAAACATAAAAAGCATAAAAAGCATAAGAAGGAGAAAACACCTAGCGATTAACTCCAAAAAGTTACTTCTCCATTTGTCCTTCAATCTGCTTAACATCTTAAGGGGTTTTGGGGTTTTGGGGTTTTGGGGTTTTGGGG